TGGTAGTAGGGCTTGTGGGGTTTCTCATTGTTATTTCCTCCCTCATTGTTCTATTCCAGGTAAGCTCAGAGAATCCCCTCTGTGGAGTGGAGCCCAGATCAGTGATTGGAGGGTAGGTCCCATCTGTGGAAACAGAATGGGAGTGATTAAAAAGATGGAGACACTCACATTCCAAAGATGGCTGTGAGGTAGAGGAGGGGGAGTGAAATTCCTATCTCTATCTCCACCAGCAGTTCAGTGGTTGAACTTTTCTATCTTTTAAAGAAAAAACAAACAAACAAAAAAAATACCCTTCACAGACAGGCTATTTGAACAAAAGCTCAAAGTACATGTCTAAAGTTCTATGGGCAAAAGTTTTCTGTGTGGTGTCAATCTTCTCTTCTTAACTGAGACATAGCTATGTCTTGGTGTCATTGGACATAGAGGTTCCTTCAAAATCAGTCTCCAATTTGTTTTTTCAGATGTATTTCACCTTGTTTCCCCTCAAGCATTATATTCTTTCCAAAATGGCCTACTTCCCTATACCCCCAAGAAAAGGACCCATATGTGCAAAAATATTACAGCAGCTCTTTTTGTGGTAGCAAAGGACTGGTCCCTAAGGGGGTGGCCATCAACTGGGGAATAGCTGAACAATGGCTTATGATGATAGTGCCCTCAACACAAAAAGACACATTTGGAGGAGAGAGGAATTTGTAGAGAAGTTCAGTTTTAGACATGTTGAATTTGAAGTTCTTATGGGGCATTCAAGTATATGTAGAACTACAGTTTAGGAGAGAGATTAGATCTGCAGAGAGATAAGAATTGAGCCCATGGGAGTGAATGAGCTCAACAAAAGAAAAAGCAGAGAGAGAGAAGAGAAGCTAGTTCAAGACCAAACCCTGAAAGATACCCAGGATTAGGAAGCTGGCAATAGATGATGACCCAGAAAAGGAGAATATTGAGGAGTAGTCAGAGTGGTAGGAGGAAAATTAGCAAACAACAGTGACATGGAAGCTGAATGAAGAAAGAGTATCAAGGAAAATCATCCTCATTAAAAGTTTCCAAGAAGTCAAGGAGAATTACCTCCAGCAAAATTGTTTTCTTTGGTTACTTTATCCTTTGAATTTAACATCCAATACCTGGACAGAGGTAGAGAGAGAAGAAAGATAAGCACATGAATGAACGAAAAGCATCCAAAGAAGAATGAGGATCCAGGGTTAGCAATTAAGAAATCATTTGTATCTAGGAGAGAGCAGATTCAAGAAAGTTGGGGTCAAAAGTCTGATTGCAAGAGTTTGGTAAGTTTGACAAGATTAGGAAGTGAGGAAGGAGAAGCAACAGGTTAGGTTGAACATAAAGATGGCTTTTTCTTGGTTGCTGGCTTGGTGGTGAACAAAGATATAAGATGATACCTTTAGTGGATTGGGGTCAAGTGAAAGATTTTTATTATTTAAAATATATTTTATTTTTTCAGTCAGCAAAATCTTTCCTCTCACCCTCCCCTCCCTCTAATCCAGCATTGGGGGGCCAGGCAATGAATGAGTACTAAGGAAAAACAAACCTTATTACAGATATGTATTGTCAATCAAAACACATGTCCACATTGGCCATCTCTAAAGAAGTTATTTATCTCATCCTGCATTGAGTCCTTCACCTCTATCAGGAAGTAGTATGTTTTATCATTAGTCCTCTGGAATATTGATTGGTCTTCATGCTAATAGAAATTCCTAATTCTTTCAAAGTTGTTTGCCTTTACCAAATTGCTGTCATTGTATAAATTTCCTTTACAGATTTATCTTAAACCACACCACCTTTGTCTTTTCTTATAAGATCATAGTATTCCATCACATCTATATGCCATAATTTGTCCACCAGTTCTTTAGTTTATGAGCATTCCCTCAGATTTCCATTCTTTGTTTGTCACCTCAAAAGAGCCATAAATATTTTGTGCCTCCTTAGTTAGAGTTTGCTTTGCCTGGGACTGATCCCTCCCTTAATTTAACATCCCTCAATTCTCCTTCTACCTTTCTCATATTACCCTCCTATTTTCCTGTTGAATGAATGAAATACATTTCTGTACCCAACTGTGTATGTGTTTATTCTTCCTAAATGAAGGATTAAAAAAGAAGAACAGAGACCTAGTCATGTTTATAAGTCCAAGGAATGGATTAATTTGGCATAACTTATTCTTGAAGCCAAGAAAAGCTTTTGTCCTGTCAGTATGACCAGCTATCCTTACCCATTATTGTTCCACTCATCCCTCTTTGTAACATTTCTAGAAGTTATCTAACAATCCCTTTGATAACATGTTCTAAACTTTTTCCTGTAATCTAAGTCAAGTTCTCTGGTCGATAGTTGGTAGACTCCATTATTTTCTCTTTTTTGAAAGTTGGGACTTTTGTCTTTTTCTGGTCTTGCAGCAACATTCCTATTTCCCCTAAGTTTTCAAAGATCACTACCAATGGCTTAGTTGTTGTATCTGCTGATTCTTTCAGTACCTTGGGCATGGCACTGAATATGAATTTCTCAATTCCCAATTTATTAATTTCTCTATTTCACTATGTAGCATAGGTGTCAACATTATGCTAGTCATTTTAGTTCTGCCTCAAGATCATTCTTGGCAGGGAAAAAAAATCAAGTAAGAATAGAGTTTTAATGACAAAATAGGAAAATGATAAATGTTGTCAAAAAGGTGGGAATATTGGAACACTAGTGCATTGTTGGTGGAGTTGTGAACTGATCCAACCATTTTGGAGAGAAATTTGGAAATATGCCCAAAGGGCTATAAAAATGTGCATACCCTTTGACCCAGTAAATACCACTTCTAGGACTGTATCCCAAAGAGATCATAACAATGGGAAAAGGATCCACATGTACAAAAAAATATTTATAGCAGCTTTTTCTGTGGTGGCAAAGAATTAGAAATTGAAGGGATGCCTATCAACTGGGGAATGGCTGAACAAGTTGTGGTATATGAATGTAATGGAATACTATTGTGCTATAAGAAATGATGAACAAGTGGACTTCAGAAAAACCTGGAAAGACTTGTATGGAACGATGCTGAGTGAACTAAGCAGAACCAGGAGAACGTTGTACACAGTAACAGTCACATTGTGTGATGACTAACTTTGATAGACCTAGCTCTTCTCAGTAATGCAAGGATCTAAGACATCTCCAAAAGTCTCATGATGGAAAATGATATCCACATCCAGAGAAAGAACTATGGAGTCTGAATGCAGATTGAAGCAGACTATTTGCTCTTTTTTTTCTTTTCTTCTGTTTTGTTTTGTGTCTTCTTTCTTGTGGTTCTTTCTACTGCTTCTAATTCTTCTTTACAACATGACTAATGTGAAAACATGTTAAATAGGAATATATATGTAGAGCCTATATCAGATACATAAGGGAGGGAGGGAGGGAGGCAGGGAGGGGGGAGGAAAAAATTTAAAACTCAAAAGCTTATGGAAGTGAATGTTGAAAACTAAAAATAAATTAATTAATTTTTTAAAAATAGAGGTTTACCTTCTCTATGTCAAGTATAAGCCACCAAGTGCCACCAGACTGAGATGTTCTTCATGCCCTGAGCCAGAGGCCTTGTCTGAGCATGCTTGGCAATTCCCTCATTCTTCTTTTTATAAAGTCATGGTTTTCTTTTCAACAACAGAGTACCAACATGGCTTCCCCAATATTACTCATTCTGGGACTTTTTTTTAAAATAGACTCAAATTTTACTGTTTGCCCTAGTCTCAAGTTCTTTGTTAGATGTGCCAAGTATAATTCCAGTCTTCCCACTTTGTCCCTCAGTGAGTCTGAACTTTAACTGCAAGCTCCCAACCTAATTCAATTAGACATCTCTGTCTTTCATCACTGAAAAGGAAACTCTACCTCTCCACATACCCCATCCATTCAGCTAGATATGTGAACACTAATTAAAATACAACAATGAGCTGGAATTTATGTTGGCTAATGTTTTTATCACAGGTTAGAAGCAGCAGAAATGTAAACATTTAAGGGAAACATGGATTACAGACTTGATGGAACTAACTAGTTCCAGAGAGTTTTACTTTCTCTGGGTTGGAGAAATGGAAATAAGAAGGAGAAGGAAGAGAAGAACATTTACCATCCCCCTCCTTACTTACTCTGGGTTGGGAACACATAAGTTTTCTATAGATCCTTGGTCAGCAAATAGCCTCTGAATGTGATCTTTCCCAACCTCTCCTCCAATTTATCATGTCATCTGTACAATTGCCTTCCATTATCTTCTCCCATCCTCTCATTTGCCATTTCTTCCTGGTTCTTCTAACTATAAATCTCTTCCAAAGGGGTAAGGGTGGGTGGAAGGGTTAGCTTAAGAAGCTAACTCAGCCCACTCCATGAAAGCTCACTGCCTCCCATTTTCTTGAATCATTGTCCTATGGGTTTCCTAGTAGCCTAAGTAGTGATTCTGTCCTTTTTTTTTATATTCCTCTTTTCCCCAAAACCACATTTTTGTTATCCTTGACTTTTCTCACCAATGTGAGTTCATTCTGAGTTACCTGCCCTAGCTTTCATCTTTTGTCCATATCTTTTTAAAATTTAACTTAGGATATGATGATTGACTTAGAAAACTCTGGAGAATTAAATAAAAAAAAATTAAAACACTTCAGTAAATTTGCAGGATATCAAAGAAATACACAGAAATCAACAGCATTTTTGTATTTTGCCAACAAAATGAAAAAGAAAAGATAGAAAAAGAAATTCCATTTAAAATAACTACAGAAAATATGAAATACTTGGGAATCTACTTGCTAAGATCTACCTAAGAACTATATGAACATAACTACAATACTCTTTACACAAATAAAGACAGATCTTAACACCTGGAGACGTAACTATTAATTGCCTATGATTAGGCCAAGCCAATATAATAAAATTACAGTACTATCCAAGTTAATTTACTTTTTCAGTGCTATGCCAAATTAACAGAAGATTACTTTATATAGCTAGAAAAATAACAAAGTTTATTTGAAAGAATAAAAAGTTAAAAAAATGTAAAATTCATCTGGAAATGTCTCTATATTAATTTAGGCAGCCAAAACCTCCATGATTTAGAGAGTAGACATTTCTACAAAGCTATAGGCTATTGTCACTCCCAATAAGTTGCTATCTTCTATGAAAAGAAAATCAATGGTGTTGTGCAGGGGCCCAATGCAGTCCTAAAGTCTCTTTTAGGAGTGGATCACTCTCAGAAAATCTCTTATTTCATTAAGAAGTTAAAGTTGAATTTCTGAAGCCAGTGCCAGGAAAAGAAAAAATAGAAGGCTGGGGTCCCATTTTCCTCCAAAAAGAGAAGGGAATCTTTGTTGTGTTGATTCTGCTGCTCTGAAAACATAAAAGAAAAGAAATAGTCATAGGTCAGCTGGTATAGAAAAAAAAAGTCCATGCTGCCTCTATTCCCAACTGCAGGGAGAGGTTGGCCAATAGGGATTCTGTTTCAAGGGACAGGCTTGGACCTTGGAACTTTTAAAGCATGAGATGAAATAAATACTAATAGAAATCTATTAGCTGATGAATCTAATGCTGCCATTGAAACACTTCTATTGAGCTATCCTGGCTTTGTCTGTGAATGCCTGGTGCCTCAGCTACAGGAAACAAGCCAGAGCTCACCATCAGCTTTTACTTGTACCCCATCTACCTCCTGGAGTTTCTCATTCACGTGACAAATACTTGCACAAGATTACTTCGCTTTATACAATGTATGTGTTGCATAAACTGATTTTTTTAACTACTTTTTTTTGGCAAGGCAATTGCAGTTAAGCAACTTGCCCAGGGTCACACAACTAGTAAATGTCAAATGTCTGAGGCCAGATTTGAATTCAGGTTCTCCTAACTCCAGAGTCGGTGCTCTTATCCACTGCTCCACCTAACTGCCCCTATAAACTGATTTTTTAAAAACAAATTACCCAATTTAAAATAAATTTTGGAAAATCTTTTCATAAAGTGAATAATTCCTTTGTGAAATGAACTCATCTTAGTAAATCAAGATGTGTACTGTCATTTTTAAGATTTTAGTGTATCATGCCACAGGATCATAGATTTAGAACTGAAAGATACTTCAAAGGTCATCTAGTCCAACTCCAGTTTCATAGATGAGGAATCTGAGGGCTGAAGATAGAAAATGACTTGCCAGGTGGACGTGGTGGTCTTGATTTTCCAGTGAATATGCCATGAAGCTTCTGTAAAGCCATTTTAATCTTTGTTCCTCCACTTCCTTCATTAGCTCGAGGAGGAGGATACATCATCCAAAATTTCATGTTTGGTCAGAGGATTAGAGCTAGAAGGGACTTTAGGGACCATCTGGTCCAGCTGCCACATTTTATAGATATGGAAACTGAGACCCAGAGAAGCTGACTTGCCCAATGGTTCACAGATGATAAGTAGCAGAACTGCAATTTGAACTCATCTCCAGATTCCAAATCCAGCTCTAGGTCCACGGCACCATGCTCGTGGTTTATTGTTGTTGCTATTCTTAAGGAAACAAGGAAACAAGAAAAACTGCTCCAAATCTTGTTTCAATTAAAAAAGAATAACAATAGCTGATGTTTTTATATCACTTGAAGGTTTTCAAAGCACATTATACCTAGGCACATATGTATATGTGCACATATAACACATGTATATATGTATGTGTGTATATTAGGTATATGTATATATACATATAGTGTAGTGTGTGTATGTATATATTTATAGTTTTTTTTCTTTGCCAAGAAAACCCCAAATAGACTCACTAAGAGTTGGACATAATTGAAATGACTGCATAATGACAACAAAATGGGCAGCTAGGTGGTGCAGGGGATAGAGTACTGGGCTTGGAGTCGGGAAGACTCATCTTTGTGGGTTCAAATCTGACCTCAGACACTTACTAGCTGTGTGACCCTGTGGGCAAATCATTTAACCCTGTTTGCCTTAGTTTCCTCATCTGTAAAATGAACTGGAAAAGGAAATGGCAAACCACTCCAGTATCTTTGCCAAGAAAAATCCAAATAGGGTCATGAAGAGCTGGACACAACTGAACAACAACAAAATATACACACACACATATAAAATTACAAGTATTATTGTCCCCATTTTACAATTGAAGACACTGAGACTCAGAAAGTTGAAAAGACTTGCCTTCCATCACACATCTAGCAATGTCAGAGATGGAATTCACGCCCAGGTCTCTTGACTCCAGGTACAGGGCTCTTCCTGCTTCATCATGCAAAAGCACTGTGTAAACCCTAGCTCACAGCTTTTCTAGGTAGGTGTGGCAGGCACTGGTTAGGTCTCAGAGGATGACTTACAAATTAAAGATGCAGTCAGCGTGGGCAGTGTAGTCCAGACACTTTAGGAGTTTCACAGGTCTGAAAGAAAAAATCATCCTGATTTTATTTAAAGTTTCTATTTTACAATGATCCAAGACAATTCCAAAGGACTCATGATGGAAAATGCTATCCAACTCCAGAGAGAGAATTGATGAACTCTGAGCATAAACTGAAGCATAATTTTTTCACTTTTTTCATTTTTCTTGCTTTTTTTTTTGGTTGTTGTTTGCAACAAAGTTAATAGGGATATATGTTTTACATGATTTCATTTGTATAACTGATATCATATTACTTGCCTTCTCAATAGGCAGAGAGTGGGGTAGAGGGAAAGAGAGAGAATTTGGAACTCAAAATTTTAAAATATGAATGTTTTAAATAAATATTTTTTTAAACAACAAAGTTCTTTCTGCCTTGAATGTAATCTCCTCCTGGCTGCAGGAGACTACCTTTTCTTCCCAGATGTGAGTCTTTTGTGCAGTCCCGACCACCTGAGGGCCTCAGAGAATCACAAAACCTCAGAGCTGGAAGGAGCCTTGGAGATCCCCTAAGATCCGCCCTCTGGCTGAAGCCTGAATTCTGTTTAGTCATGCTGAATGTACCAGTTTTTGCCTGAACACTTCCAGGCACCAGCGGGTCTCACCATTTGACTATTACCTCTTCAGACAGCTCCACCCATTAGAAAGATCACTGTCCCTTCTACCCACTATCTGGACGTGGCGGAGCCAAGCTCTTCCGCACTGTTAAATTTTCAGCATGCACATTTACACCTTAGAAATCAGCAAACCCTACAAACTGGGGGTCAATTTATCGTTTTGTTGATTGACTAGACACAAGAAGCAATGGAGAAAATTTTTATGCAAATTAAACTTTAAAGTGCGTCATTCATACATTTGGGTGAAGGGGCAGCCAGTTAAACATTTACCAGCACATTCATGCCACTAATCCTAGTTCTGTCTGTGGAAACTACAGTGAATAAATCATATCCTTCTTTTCTATGAATAACCTTCAGACATTTAAGGGTTCCTATCATGTATAGGCTTCCTGTCTTATATTTTCTGGACTAAAAATGCCCGAGAGATCCCCTGTGATGTGGTTTCAAGACCCCCTGCCATTCTAAAATCATACTTAACCCTTCTCTGGGTGTGTTCCACATTGGCAAAGTCCATGATGCAATGTGGTATTCCACTGTTACTCCCTAGAAAGGAGGAGAAGACCCAGTTGAGCCTGAATAACTCCACTGAACCTTCTCTACTCTAATTCCTGCTGCCAGTCACTGGATATTCAGTGACCTCTCCTCCCCGAGAGAAGGCAGAGGTGGGAGAACTCTCAGAGCCTTAGCAGGGTATGATGGGGGATACTTTATTTGAGGTTTTGTTTTTGCTTGGTTTTGTTTTTTTTTAAGGACGACATTTATTTTAGTCTATTAAGTTAAGGAGAAAAAAAAACTTGTCCTTAAAATGAATGTGTTTGTCATTTCTTACTGCTTTGTTTTTCATCACTAAGGCTTTAGAGAGAAATAATAATAATGGCTAGAATTTCTATAGCAAGTTAAGGTTTGCAAAGTGCTTTACAAATAGCAGTTTAAAGGGGGGCAAGCAGCTTAAAGAGTTAATAATAATAATAGCTAACATATCACACTTTCAAGTTTGCAAAGCACTTAAACTACAAGCATTTATTAAGTGGGTAGTGCCAGACACTGAAGATATAAAGACAAAATGAAACAGTCTTTACCCTTAAAGAGTGTATATTTTATTGAAGAAAAGCAACATGTACATAACTAGATGACCCAGTGGATAGGAAATGGGACTTGGATGCAGGAAGATCTAAGTTCAAATCCTGCCTTGGACACTTACTAGCTATGGGACTCTGGGCAAGTCACTCTATCTGTCTCAGTTTCCTCATCTGTAAAATGGGGAATAATAATAGTGACCGGGTTGGGATCTGGACCCCAGAAAGGAAAACTCTGGACTTTTCCACATGGCCAAATTTCTGACAGTACCCTGAGGCTATAATCCTATCAACTGGCCTTTCATTGTGGCTACTCCCAATCTCCCAATTCTCTGTTACCCTTAACCAAGCCTAGTCCTCCATTGTCTTACCTCCTTATGGCCCCTGGCCATTTCCCAACCTTAATCCTAGCTAGGCTCCATTCTCCCTTGGCCACATGGTCCAGGCCCAGGCCTTCTGTTTACCCCAGTTTACTGGCTGGTCCCATCCAGATCCTCCTTGGACCCCCCTTCAGTCACCTCAAACTACTTGGCCACTCCTAGATCCCTCCCACAGTCTTTCTGTATATAAGGTCCATCTTCTCTCTTTTAAGGGGCTCAGATTCTTAAAATCTAGCCACAGCTCAGATTCCTTAAGAGTCTGCCCAATATGATAAATGTTCTAATAAACCTTGTCTTTGGCTGAAAGAAGGCTTGGGTCTAATTCTTTCGGGCAGGACCCATGAGTTGTGATTTTGGGGTCCCAGAACCCCTAAACCTCCTCTTTGCAGAGCTGTTACAAGGATAAAAATGATTTAACATGTGTAAAACACTTAGTAAGCATTCAAGCCCTAGGTGAAGGGGTTGGGATCTGGGCCCCAGAAAGGAAAAACCCTGGACTTTCCCACATAGACAAATCTCTGGTTTATAATCCCATCAACTGGCCTTTCATTGTGGCTACACCCAATCTCCCCTCCATTGTCTTGCCTCCCTATGGCCCCAGGCCGCTTCCCACCCTTGGTCCTATCTAGGATCCATTCTCCCTTGGCCACCCCTGGAGTTCTATTACCTCATAAACTACTTGGCCACTCCTAGATCCCTCCCATAGTCTTTCTGTATATATAAGGTCTATCTTGTCTCCATTAAGATACTCAGATTCTTATAATTTAGGCACTGCTGGGATTCTTATAATCTAGTCAATAGTTTACTAATGTTCAGACTCCTTAAGAGTCTGCCCAATATGATGGATGTTCTAATAAACCTCGTCGTTGGCTGAAAGAAGGCTTGGGTAGAATTTTTTCGGGCAGGACCTGTGTATTGTGATTTTGGGGTCCCAGAACCCCTGAGCCCCTAAACTGCCTCATAGGTAAATGATAGCCATTATCGTTATTGCATACAAGTACATTTACATAAAAATAAATACAAAATAATTTCTGAATCAAAGGCACAAGAAGAGCAACTTCTTAAAAATAGAACAGGGATTTCAGAGGCCACAAGGGAAGGATGGGATAGGATACAATGGATGACGGATGGGATGGAACTTCAATAGGTTCACGGAAAGGTGGTGATGAAAAAAGAACTTTGGCCTGGCTCACCTTATAGCTCAGAAGGGCAAGGATACTAAAGGCAACCACAGGGGAGTAGATTGTCACACACTTCCTAGTAGCAAAGGTAATGTTGATTTGATTATCTCCCCCTGAGAAAGATGTGGAAAGGGTGGTAGAGTACAGGCACCGGAGTCTGGTCCTTGGCACTGCCTAACAGTCAATACATTATCTTTTTTGATCCTTACAAGGAGGTTCTCTGGGAGGGTGGTGTTGTTATTATCCTCATTTTACAGAAGAGGAAACCTGAGTCTTAGGTGTCAACCTGGCAGAGTTTGATCTAAGAAAGACAAACAAAATTAGGTTGTCTGAGTCCATGTTTTTATTTCTCTCAAGCCGGCAGCATGCATGTAAAGCTGCAGTCAAAGACTGAGCCCCTCTAAGGGAGCCAGTTTAGAACTGGGATCGATTTGGGGGTTGGGGTGCCCAGTTTATATACCTTTTCAACAAGGGCTAATATCACCCCATTTTACCTCTGGACAGAGCCCAACCATACGAGACCACTCCCAGCCTTGGGCCATCTAGACAGAAGAATCTGTCTCCACCCAAGCCTGAGTAGAACACTGTGGAGCTTTCCTACCTTTGATTAAATCAATTAAATCAAGGCTTGGGTTGGAGTTTGACTAGGATAAGGAGACTCAATGCCATCTCATTATCAGAAATGTCTTTCTGAAGAAAAACTGAACTTAAAGCCTATACTTTGAAAGAAGGAGGTTGAGGGGAAGCTCTGAGTCTCCAAGATAATGATTACTAAGAAAAATCATTTTTCACATTGGTTAAATGACTTACTCAAGGTCACGCAGCTACTAAGTGTCTGTAGCAGAATTAGAACCAAGATCTTTTTTTTTTTTGGCTAGGCAATGAGGTTAAATGACTTGCCCAGGCTCACATAGCTAGTAAGTGTCACATGTCTGAGGCCAGATTTGAACTCAGGTCCTCCTGACTCCAGGGCCAGTACTCCATCCACTGCACCATCTAGCTGCCCCACCCAAGGCCTTCTTGATGTCGAAACTAGCATTTTATCAGCTACCCCACTTCTGTCAATCAACATATCGTCCCAAAGAGTCATTTAACTTCTGAAGAGTTGGTAATATAGTAAAAGAACCCTGAGATTGGAATCAGAAGCTTAGGTTACCCATGTGACTTTGGGTGAGGGACTTCTTTCTGGACCTCAGCCTTTTCTTCTGTGAAATGATGGAACTGGACTAGATCAAGAGATATTAAACTGTTTTTTATTTTGGTCATGGGCCCCTTTGGCAGTCTGGTGAAATCTATGGACCTTTCTCAGAGTAACATTTTTAAATATACAATAAAATACATAGGATTACAAAGAAAATCAATTATGATGAAATATAATTCTCAATTTTTTTTTAAGTTCGTGGACACAAAGTTAATGAATTAGATGATCTTTAAGGTCTCTTCTTAGGGCAGCTAGGTGGTACAGTGAAAAGACCACCAGGCCTGGAGTCAGGAAGACCTGAGTTCAAGTCCTACCCTAAACACTAGAATGTGTGTAACCCTGACCAAGTCACTTAACCCTGTTAGCCTCAGTTTCCTTATCTATAAAATGAGCTAGAAAAGGAAATGACAAAACGAGTCCAGTATCTTTGCTAAGAAAACCCCAAAAGGGTTCACGAAGAGTCGGACTGAAAAATGACCAAACATCATCAAGGTCTCTTCCGTATCTAAATGCCATGATCCCATTTTATTATGGAGAACCTTGTACTGGGAACCATAGATAATGTTAACGGGAAGGAGCATGTAATAAAATGGGAGAGTTAAGTAGATGGAGTAGGAGAGAGGGAGAGGCTCTGACAGAAATATCCCCTTCAGTAGCAAAAGTTCTTTGGACTATGGAATACTGTCTTCCACACCCAGTAACAAACTATTAAGCAACATTAACTTAGTCATTAGCAATATTGCCTTATCAATTAGCTAATGGAACCTTGGGCAGGATATGATTATCCCTGTAAATATCCACCAAACAGATTCCATTTACCTGTAATCGTTAATGCATTCATATTTAAACTCCATATTTTTCAGTCTCCTTTCCAGTATTTTCACACTGCCTTCCCCACAGGATTCTCTGTAAAATAAAATTTCAACTATTAAGGACCCTGACTATTGGACCAACTTGATTGGGATGATTCATTACCACAAACTGTAATGATCAGTGGTGACCCCACTCTGGCTGCTAGGAAACTGGCTATACCTATTTTTGTCATGGGCCTCTCCTTGGTAGGCTGATGAAATCTATGGACCCTTCCCAGAATAGTATTTTAAAAATATATAGGGCCAGCTAGGCGGCACAATGAATGAAGCTCTGACCTTGGAGTCAGGAGGACCTGAATTCAAATCCAGCCTCAGACACTTAACACTTACTAGCTGTGTGACCTTGGGCAAGCCACTTAACCCCGCTTGCCTCACCAAAAAAAAAAAAAGGCAAAAAAATAAAAGCCTCAATATCAATCTGTGTGTACATGGATTAAAATATATGTATATATATATATATATATATATATATCTACAATAAAAACATAGGATTACAAAGGAAATGAATTATGTTGAAATACACTTATCAAAATATATATTCTTTAAAAGTTCATGGACCAGGGGGCAGCTAGGTGGCACAGTGGATAGAGCACCGGCTCTGGAGTCAAGAGGACCTGAGTTCAAATCCGGCCTCAGACACATAACACTTACTAATTGTGTGACCTTGGGCAAGACACTTAATCCCCATTGCCCATCCTCTCCCAAAAAAAAACAACAAAAGTTCATGGATTCAAAGTTGCCACTAGGATTTCTTTTATGCCACAGCAGGGATGTGAAAAGAATCTCCATGTTTCTTGTAGATTTGTAACTCATGGTGGTTGTTGGAAAATCTTTATTTCTTGTAGATATAATTGATTTACATGATGTATCCCAATGCATCATTGGAGGCAACCAAGACTGACCAAAGTTGTAGCAGGTCCTGGGGAGCTATGATGTCATCCTTTAGGGCAGGATTCTTCCTCTAGTGCCAGTTAATTTTGGAAGAAGGTTAGACTAAGGCAGAGCCACTGATGTAGTAGATAACGAAGAGCCACTGTAGCTCCTTCTCAGTCCCCACTAAGATTGTGAGCACTGAGAGTTCAGAAATGTCTCTCCCCCCATCACCTTGCAGAGTGTTATGTATTTGGGAAGGACTTTTAAAAAACAGGTTCTTGACCAGAGAAGCAATGTTGTAAACTTGCTCCCCGGCAATGTAAACTCCTTGAAGGACTTCTGATTCTAAATCCAGTACTCTTTCTTCTATACCATGATGCCTCTGTCACTGATTTTTGGCCAACTCTATATTAAATGAGTCACCACTATCAAGAGCATTTATATATTAAAGCTGACTTTGTACATTTTGTTATGACAGGTATTATTACTTGTCAAAGTAATAATACATTCATTTTATGCTGACAGTTGCCTGAAAGTGAGTTAAATAGATATAATTCTTGCCATCTGAACATTGAGAGTCTAAAATAAGTTTTAAGAAAAGACAGAGATGTTAATAAATGTGCTGAACAGGCAAATGAGGTTCTTATAGGGAAATTTATTATCTCCTCATGTAGTATGGAAGATAGCAAGAGGTGAAAGTCACTATGGCGTGAGGTTTTCCACTCCATACTGGAATGGACAAGGTATTGGATTTGCAGGAAGTTGGAATCCTGGGTTGTAATCCTGGTTCTGCTACTTATTATTGTATGACCTTGAACAACTCATTTGAACTCTCTGGGTCTCAGTTTCCTTTTCTATAGAATGAGATGAATGCACTAGAATTCTAAGGTTACTCCTAGTTTATTAGTATCCTTTAAACCTGAATGGATTTATGTGGAATAAGAGATTCATTTTCTCTCCTATGAAAGTACACTACAGAGAGAACTATAAAAATTATACATGTCTTCCAGTTAGGAGGTAAAATGGAATGAAGGAAGCAGGATTTCAAGAAGTGTTTGAATTAAAAAGGGGAGAAGGTTTTAAGCTTAAATCAAGATTAGAAAATAGCTCCATCAATGTATAGGCATTATATTGAGGACAGGTAACCACTGCCCCAAACTTATCATCATAAAATGCCTTCCAAAGTGCTCTAAGTCAGGGGTAAAACTTCAGTAGGTCAAGAGCCTTTTCTGCAGGTACCAAAATTTGAAGCAATCAAAGAAATAGATTAGAAGGGAATCACAGGCCAACCTCCTCATTTTACAGATGGGGAAACTAGGCCCAGGAAAACTAAATGACTTACCTAAGGTCACAGTTAATAAGCATTAGAGCTAAGATTTGAACCTAGACCCTCTCTAAACTGGAGTCAGTGCTTTTTCTGCTGTTCGGAGGAGAACTTTCTCCCCTACCTTTCAGTCTCACATTTTAGCTATAGATAAGAAAACTATAGGGCTTTACCCTTCTGTTTCCCAAAACATGGATCTAATGTGTGCTTCCTCCTGTTGGCCCCTAACTTTTCTTGTTTAAATACCATTTGCACATTTTCTCCATTTGCCTGTTTTACAAAATTATTCCCACTTTCTCTCTCTCCCGCCCCATGGGGAGGGGTGTGAATGAGAGGTCGAGAGATGATAGAGATAGGGTGAGGAAAAAAGGAAAAGAAAAAGCACCATTGAGGCATTTTTTAAAGGTAGAGAACAGAAGGAAAACTAGAAAGAATCACGGACAAACCTTGTCAGGTTTGGAAAGCTATAGTTTGAATTTATTATATACTTAGCAAGAAAAGCAGGCTTTACATAATAGAAATCTTCAGTTTCAGGGGTATAATTTCTTAATCTGTTCTACTGTGAATATGGAAATGCCCATTTTATTTGGAGTTTGTTAAATTCAAAATAAAAATAAAAAAAATTTAAAGTTCTCATTTACATGCAAATCTCACAGCAAAGCTCTTTAAGCCTCAACAAACTGGAATTATAAAGGTGTAGTCACATCTATTACTGAATGAATTTACATTTTAGGTAATTCCTTTCAAAGTTTCTGCTCCAAATTTATATCTCCATTCACCTTCTTGATTAGGTTGGAAGTAGTCACCTTAAATGTGAACACATTACCATATGAAAGCCCTGTTGGTTGCCAGACCCAGGCAAGGCTCCCACTCCTCCAGACTCCCAGCTTTGGGGAAGGATTTCCAGAACAACTTCAAAAGCTTAAGGCATCTTGGCTTCTCAGAAAAGTGTCTTCTGGCAAGGAAATGGTAGACCACCAACTCAGCAAGGTGGGGCAGGGCATGAGTATAATGGAGGGCTAAGAGGGCCAAGAATATGGGACACAAACCAAGTGACCCATTCTTCCAGCTAATGTGGCCCATATCATCCCTTTACCATGAGCTTCATGTCTGCAACTCTGTGTGGAGAAAATGGACAAAACCTGTATTGCTGTGAATTTAGGGGAACCATCTTCTCTGCCCCTTTCAATATTTAAAAGTAAACTTAGAGGTCAAAGAAAATGCAGCCTGCAGGGTTATGTAATGAAAAAATTGATGCAGATTCCATCTCACCTCCTATTGCTGAAAATAAATTCCTGCCCTACCTGGATGACCTGATGAGATCAGTTACCCACTGGAGGGGCAGTTAGGTGGCTCAGTGGATAGAATGTTAGGCCTTGAGTCAGGAAGACTCATCTTCCTGAGTTCAAATATATCTAGTTGACCCTAGGCAAGTCACTTCACCCTGTTTACCTCAGTTTTCCTCATCTATAAAATGAGCTGGAAAAGAAAATGCAAACCACTCCGACATCTTGGCCAAGAAACTCCAAGTGGGGTCACAAAAAGTCAGACATGACTGAACAACAAAAACCTCGATTGAAACAAACTAGATAGGCAGAATTACTCTTCAGGAGGAAATTCCTCTACACTGAGGAATTCCCTAATACCTGGTCCCTCACCACAGCCAGGTCACCATCCTCAAGAGCTGAGCTCTCTCCTCTGGCCCTGACTACAAAACAATCTCAATGGTAATCTCCCTTAGGCAAGGGAGAACACTGCCAAACCTTCTTCCCCAACCTTTGAAGGTGGAAGGGAAAAGATCACACAAGGACAATGACATTGATGGTCCTGTTGGACTGCCAGCTATGTTGTGGTAGGCACAGATCAGACTCTCTTGGGAACATGCTGCCCCTTCCCTTCATGTGACTACACCTAACAAATGAGTGGCTAGCAAGAAATCCATAGACTAAAATAACTTGCCCAAGGTCACATAGATAGTAAATGAAAGAGCAGGATTAAAATCCAGCTTCTTAGATTCCAACTTCAAGACTCTTTTGATTACATAACACTATTTTTATCCCTGTGCCTTCCCAGAGAACCAATGTCTTTGTCTTTATTTGTCTAATATTTGACTGGAAACCTGAGTAACCTGCCAATTTACATGGAATGAACTTTTTTTTTTGACACATGCTTTTAAATAACTTGTTTACTGGCTCAGTACACTTAGTTTTTAAATAATTACTCACTTTGAATAAACAAAGTCTTAACTTACAAATATGGTCCTCCAATTTCATGCATAACCCAGATCTCAAATTGTGTGACTTTATCCTTCTGGAAGTTGGGGATCTCATAATCTGCAAAAAACCTCAATAAAAGAAAGAAAAACTTAAATTCTCAAAGCATCCTTTTCATTTCAGGTACCAATACATTTGCATACTATTTTTTTTTTCAATTAAGTTAAATTAATATACTTTACTTTAAAAAAGTGTTCTGTTCTACGTACTCTTGATTGAAAAATAATTACTATAGTCTTAACAAAGACTTCAAGCTTATTATTTAAAGCCACCTGCTTTGAACATGGCTTTAATGGGATATGTGAAAATCTCTTAACAACGCTAAGCAATATTACTCTTAAACAAAAAATGAAGGAACAGTGGTTGTTTTCCATATTTAAACTGCACAGTACCTATAATCAAAGAGTCTTTGAATTGGAAGTGTTATTTTAAAACATGTTATGAGAGAAATATTTTCTTTTTGAGTTCATGTGGTAGATAAGAATTGCTTAAATTTACCACAACACAGATATTGAAGGGATAAAAATTTAGGTTTTAGCTTAATCACAGGTTCAGAAAAGTAGAATAATAATCCCTGAACAGAGATTAGGGTTTTCTGACAAGGTTTTATAGAGAAAAATATGTCAGAGAGAAAGAGAACTAATTTTTTTTTAACATATTGCAATCTCATACATTCTTTTAGGCTATAAAATTTTTTTTTAATTTCATAAACCCATGCTTCCTTCAACATCATAAAAGTTGAGCAAATTTAGTTAAGCAGAGTTATATACATCCCCTCTGGAAATAACCTAGCTAAACAAACTCTATAGGTAAACTAAATCAGGTTATAGATCAAACAATGAATTTGCAAAATCTTACTTACAAAGCTTCGAGGCTATATTGTAAAGAAGTCATGATGGACTAATTGAGAGGAAAGGAATTACATGTCAGTAAGATTTAATATCAGGGAAATTCTTCCACAACTAAAGTATTTTTTGGGAAGTTTTAAAGATATTATATTTCCTTTTTCCTCTCATTTGGTTTCTTAATTCAGGAATATCAAAAATCTTCCCTTAATACTATTACTCCATGAGTCACATTTTGGTCAGATAAGTTTAATATTAACAGAAGACAGGCTTGTAGTTAACCAAGTTTCAGGAAGAATGGCCCTGAGCCCTGAATAATAAAAATTCGTAAAAGGAAACCAAAAATTCCCATAATAGAAGTGAACTTAGAGATAATCTAGTCCAAACCCCTGCCAGATGGATGGATTCCTTCTATAATGAGCTAAGAATGTTTTTTATATTTTTAAGTAAAGTCTTACCACTTTTTAAAATTCTTGGATATCTCCAGGGATAGAGGACTTGCTATCTAAAAAGTCAATCCATTCCATTTTTTAACAACTCTAATTTTTAGAAAATCTTTCTTTAAACTTGGCCAACATCTGTGTCCTTGATAACCTCCACTTACTGATCTTATATGATTCTGGTACTATTCAGAATGTATAATACATTTAAAAAATTTATTAGCAGAGGCTTATAGTAGACATTTAATAAATGCTTGTTGGCTTGACTGTTTTATTTTCATGATTTAAATGTTTCTAATCTCTTTTCCATATGTCTTTTTTATTATTTTAAGATCATACTCCTATATACCCTAAATTTTCTTATTTAGTCTTCTAGTTTCTGCAATTAATCCTTATAGTTTTATAGCTCCTAAAAAAATTCTATCTTTTCTCCTTGGGGCTTATTCCAGTTATTAATACCCCTTAAAAACAAACACCCAGAAACTACCTAGACTTTCAAGATGTAGCCTAACCAAAGGAGAGTAGAGTTGGGCCTATCATCTCTCTTCTACTTCACTTTTTGTTTTAGTATCTTACACCATACTATGACTCACATAAGTGATGCTGTCTCCAAATTACACTTATGTTACTGATTTTTGAAATCTAAATTATGATTTTACATTTATGCCTATAAAATTTCATATCTTATATGATGGATTATTTTCTTCTATCAGAATTTAGTTGGGGGGTGGTGTTAATAACATGAGATATTTATAAACAATCTCAAAATGGTGTGATTTTTAGCACCCTCCCCCACAATCATTGAAGAGCGCTCTGAGCCATTTTGTATTTTCCTTTGTTGCATGAGTTGCCATGGCCATCCATCAACAAGAGCCTGACCTACTTGGAGATTATCCTTTCCATGCTCAGCAAAGCTGGTTGCCAGGACAGTACTCAAAGTCTCTACAGCTTGCTGCAGCTTGCCAGCTTTCACATGCCCTTGGCATAATCTTCAAGAAAGAGGGCTACCTCAGCACCACAATGAAGCACAGGAGGAGGGAACACTCCCATAACCTGCACATAACACTCTGAGTACTACAGGTGTGGCAAGTACCCGCACTCTAATTTGTTGCCAGATTTACCAGCTGGGCTTGTTAACTTCAATATTTCCAGAAACTATGATTTTATTAGGGTAGGTACTTCCTCCACCAGACCTGCCAGAGCTTGCGCTCCACTGGCCCAGCCATAGAGAGCCTATGATCGCCTCCACCTCCCCATGAGCCAATGGAATAAGACAGTAGAAAAGGTTAGCTGTGGTTTTTCATTCTAAATTTATGAGCTCCTCCACTTTGTCCCCTCCACATACACACTAGCCCATAAACACATAACCCAAACTCCCTAAAATTTTTCACCATGAAAAATGCCACTGTTATAGGTGGAATATTAGTCAAGTAGTTACCAATTCCTGTTTCTAGAACTCTTTGTCAGTCTGGAGCAGGGGTCATCTCTGCTCCCAGAGCTGTTTCATTGGTCTTATGCTATTTGGATTTGCAATGGTTTTCATTTGCATTGCAAAGATTTGGATTGGTTTGCAGGTAGTGGTTCTCAGTTCATCTTTTTTTTCCTTTCCATCAACTTTTTGATACTGCTGTGATATATTATGTAATATTAGTTCTTTTCCACTTACCCCTCTACTGGATAGGCTCCAGATGGCTCTGAACCATTCAACATAACATGTATCACCCCTGAGCTATCATGTGCATACTGTGAAAGAAAACAAATATTTTTAAATCAAATAATTAAAATAAATAAAAATTAAAAACAATAAAAAGAGAAAAAATCAAATGAATTAAATAATTAGCAACTGATAAATATAGCACTTAGGAAAAATCAGAATTTTTTGGAGTGGATGTGTTTGGGAGTAGAAGAGATTATGTACTCCTTGTAGACAAGGACTTTTGCTTCTTTTTGTATCCTCACCATTTACCATGGTCCCTGGCACATAGTAGGTGCTTAATAAATGTCTATTAACAGAAAAAGAGACTGACTGAAGACCAATTATAAAATAGAGTTGGTTTGGTGTGGGAATCAAGAGAACCAATTAGATTCTATCTCAAGAACACTGATTCCATCTTGTGCTTCCACATGTATTCTCCTCCATCTTGTTTTTCTGCAAATCATCCATGGGAAACTAGATGGTATCAGCCATCTATTATTTCATAAATGTAGGTCTATTCAATTAATCAGCATCTCTTAATTTGGGGAAAAGAAAGACCTTGAAACCTACTTGTTCTCCTCTCAACTTGACTAAAACTTACTCTTCCCCACCGTTAACTTGGAAAGCCCCCTATCTTTCCTCCAATTAGAAATCAGATTATCTAATTTTGTATCTTGGTTAATTTTTTATAATTAACTTGTTTTCTTTGATTAATTAATTTTAATACATAAAAATCTGTTTTACTCTGTATTCAGGGTCTTTGGACTAACTGGGGAGTCCCTTGACCCATTTGTTATACCTGTTTTGCTAATAAATCATATAGCTCAGGTTGTTTCCTCAATTATTATTAACTAACCATCACATAGAGGGGAGATACAAGTAATTAATTTTAGGACCTATGTGCATTATCTATCCCAACAGTTACCAAAACCAAACTCTTACACTCACCCAAACTCTGAGGATGGAGGCAGGCATTTTATAGTGACATTTAGGGTTGCCCTTACACATGAGTGGAGTAGCCAGCCTGTTATATGATGTGATACTTTTTGCAAAGAGTTTTCCTCACAACTACAATTTTACCAATAGAATGTGAGCTCCTGGAAGTCAAAGACTGTTTTCTATGCCTTTGTATCCCCAGAGTTTAACACAGTTCCAGGCACATAGTATATATTTAATAAGTCATTGTTGAATTGAATTGAATCACTCTGTAAAGTTGGAATAAATGCTTGTTGATGGATAGGAAACAAAAGTATCCCTAATTTTATGGATAAAAAAGCTGAGGCACTAGGGGCAGCTAGGTGCTGCAGTGGGTAGAGCTCCAGCCTTGGAATCAGGAGAACCTGAGTTCAAATCTGGCCTCAAACACTTGACACTAGCTGTGTGACCCTGGGCAAGTCACTTAACCCCAATCGCCTCACCAAAAACCAAGCAAAACAAAAACAAAAACAAAAAAAAAGCTGAGGCACAAAGATCAAATGACTTATCCAAGGTCACAAAGCTAGTAAGGGAAGTAATTCCAAATCTACTATCCTTTCTACTTTGCCATGTATCGTCCATTGTCCTCTGTTGTCACTAAGTAGAGCAAGGGCCTTGAAATATATGTGTTTAGATTGGGAATAAAGTTAATGATCACCATAGTAGAAGGAATTAGGCAAAGGATATGAGGATACTGCATACCTGGGGTTGGGGGCAAGGAAGCACACAGCAAAAGGAAATAAAGCGAGGTAAGGAAAAGGAAAACTAAGTGGCAGAAAAGACTACTTTAGGAATTTTCAGAGGATTGGTTTTCATGACGTAGAACATAAGTGCTATTCTCCAGCATTTTCTGGCTACGAAGGAGGCAATGGGTGCATTGTTCAGGGGTGGGAGTTGGGGAAGGGCAGGAGAGACTCCATTAGAGAACCATTCTTTTAATCTCACTGCACTCAGATGCTTATTACACAGCTTCAAAAAAACAGTGCAGGCCCTGTCAAAGCAATTTGCTGCAACTACCTACCTTCCTGAGCTCCTTAAAATAAGATTCTGGCATGTTGTCTTTCCTGATCCTCGTTATAAACACTGAGCCCAACCTTAGCTCTCCTTAATTCTGGCTTTCAGCAAGCAAGCTAACTAACTGGGGGGTGGGGGGGTGGGGGGGTGGAGGATGTTAAAGGGGGAATCCCCTTCCTAGACTAGTAACTCTGGAATATTTTTGGCCTTTCCCAAGTGACTCATTTCCCGATACTGCTTCCCCAGGGCAATGTCTTCAAAACAGTATTTTGACTTTGTCTGTTATCTGTGAATTGTGTCACTTGATGTGTTAGACCACATACTGTCACAGAGGATTAGCCCCAGCCCAGACAAGTTGTCCCAAGAGACCTCAGCAAGAAGGCTGGTTTGGAGCCTCCCTGGTAGCTGCTGTGGCTTTCAGTTATTTTGCAGTGGAAGTTTAGAGCGCTAACCCACAATGAATTGCATAGCTAAGCCTCTGCACACTAGAACTGCTCTGTGTGTGTGTGTGTGTGTGTGTGTGTGTGTGTGTGTGTGTGTGTGT